ATCGACCAGACTACACAGCGCAACAACCCATAAGACAGAAATCTTCATACTCATCGCCCTGATGATGGAGGCAGTATGACCTCTGAAACGTTGGTTAACATCGACCACACTACACAGCGCAACAACCCAGAAGACAGAAATCTTCATCGCCCTGATGATGGAGGCAGTATGACCTCTGAAACGTTGATTGACATCGACCAGACTACACAGCGCAACAATCCAGAAGACAGAAATCTTCATACTTATCGCCCTGATGATGGAGGCAGTATGACCTCTGAAACGTTGGTTAACATCGACCAGACTACACAGCGCAACAACCCAGAAGACAGAAATCTTCATACTCATCGCCCTGATGATGGAGGCAGTATGACCTCTGAAACGTTGGTTAACATCGACCAGACTACACAGCGCAACAACCCAGAAGACGGATATCTTCATACTCACCGCTGTGAAAACCTCAAGTCTTACAAGTTATTCTGTTGCCTTTCAGTCTCCAGTTATTGCTGTACTCTGGCACGTGTTGAAGCTACTACTGGGTAATATTTGTTGTTATTGAGGATTGCCATGCGCCCACAATTCTGCAGTGTTTAATTTGTTGTTTGAAAATGTTACTCGCATTTTTATTTTCTTATAATTTGCTTGTCATTTATTTTTGTTTGCTTATTTACAGTTTTATATTTTATTTTACCTCTACGTAGGATAGACCTATAATATTGAAAATTTTACAGTTACAGAATGCAGTCAAGTGTTCTTGGGTGATCAATCGTATGAAAATATAAATATTTTACAGTCATCTGCAGACTGATTTTGCTTGTCTCCCCAGATGACTGAAAGGGTGAGGCTGAATGAAATGTTGGAAGCAAGCTCCGTTCTCATGTGGTTGATCATCCAAGACGACTTCACCGTTTTATATAAGATATTTTTTCTTACGTTGTTTTTATTTGCGTATTTATATGTTTCATTTGTCACCCTCAGCGGACTAGTGGTTAGCGTGCTCGCCACTGGACCCAAGGTTCGAGGGTTTGAACCCGGGGCCGATGGATTTTTAAAGGTGATAAAAATCCGTAGCACAACTTCCTT